TATATATCTATATATATATATTACCTGTTCTATAGCCAGGTTCTGTGCGGCCACTGTATCCAAATCGCCCGAATGGAAACCTTGCAAGCGTGCCGTAGACATAGTCGACTGTTGTTGCACCAACATATCTCGATGCTTTGTATACATTTCTTGCCTCTGGTTCAACAGTTGTTGTTGTAGTTGCCGTTCTACGAACTGATTGCCATCGAAGGAAGCCAGGTTATTGAAACTCCGCATGGCTTCGTTTTTAACGCGCATATTACCGAAGCTTGCGTCCCCCTCCGGGCCCACACTTTGGGGCCAGATGTTGCCCCCATTCTTATTACTCTGCGGTATATTACTGTTATTTTGTTGCAGGTTGTTAGTGCTATTGTTCTGCTGTAATCCTGGCTGCTGTTGTTGTTGTAGGTGAGATGCGCTCTGAGAATTGAGGAGCGAGGACCCGCCTGACTGCCAAGACATGGACATATTTAGTAGTAGTATTTTAAACGTAAAACAGTGTGCATTCGAATGTAGAAAATGAGACAACTCTCCTGTCCGAACATTGCGTAACTCCGTTTATGTAACTACGGATAGTGCTTGGACTCGAGCTCTCCTGTTCGACCAGAAGATAGTATTGTAGTATGAGTATGCTGATAAGCAGAGTTGTTGAATCTGCAATAACTCGGACTGGTTATGAATATTTTTTTAAACACAGTAGTAAAAAACATACAAAAATAAAAGAGCGGATGACTTTTAGGTTCACCGGTTTTTTTTAAAGGCGTCTGTGTCTAAAGTAACCGGATGACGTTTTCCGTTAGAATGAAGAATTAATACTCGTTGCGTTTACGCTCAAAACGTTTACTGTGGTTTTATCCTGCATGTGTGACAAGGGTGCAATATGTTTCAACGTTTTACCAAAGATCAAACCTTTATACGTTTGCTCTCAACGTATACGCTGAACTACCATAACGTTTGTGATTTTTGGCCAGCGAGTGCTCTTTTTTCAATTTTTTAGTTTTTTCAAATTTTTTTTGAGGGGTAAATATATGGTGAAGTAACTCTTTTCCTTAGAAACTTTTACTGTACCTTTATTATTTGACGATCTTAAAAGGAGTTAATGAAAGTAGTTCCCCATCATCATAACAACTCATGGCGCACGTTCTGAAAATTTCGATCATAAATTCAGGTCTCCTGGTCACCTGAAGTCATGGCCCCTTGATCCACGGTTTGCAGTCTGTGTGCCCAATGCGGAGCTGAGAGCAGGATCCTACATTCTGCATCCGGGAAGTATTTATTAGTCATATCGATAAAGGACTTGTTAGTTTTTAAAAAGCTACAATATGTAAATTCAAAACTATATTTGAAAAGCGAGATAAGAGAACGAAATGTTTGTTAAGAACTTCTTACAAATACAGGTACCTATACAGGCATACTTTTCCATATACATATACCTGTACCTATACCTATACCTATACATATACATATACATATACCTATACATATACATATATATATACATATACATATACATATACATGTACATATACATATACCTATACCATTACCTATACATTTACACGCACACACACACACACATATATATATATATATATATATATGTAAATGTATATGTATATGTATATGTATATGTACAATGTATATGTACATGTATATGTACATGTACATGTATATGTACTTGTTTATGTACATGTAATATATATATATATATGTATATTTATATATATATATATAAGTGATATATAATATATA